GTCTAACCCCCCCCCCCAGCTCGAGATTCCTAATGTACTGTGCACCCTGCGTGAGGGACCTGATGTTTATAAGTACAGTCGTTAGGGGTCCATAAATGGACAGTTCCTGTTCCTCAATAATTCTTCAAAGCTGGAATTGTTCTTAGCCTGGGAGGATCCCAATTGTCCAGAATCCTGCTCACAGGCTAAGAAACCCGTTCGATTGACATCCTTAGCTAATATTCGCGGTATATGGGCGATAAAATGGATTTCAACTCGAATCCCCTCGACAAAGCACAACTTATTAAGTCCATGTCCAACGGCTCACCGTAAAGTTTTTCCTTCCACCCTGTCCCACCCCCCCTGCACATCTTCCTCACAAGAAAAACCAGAGATACACGCTGACTTCGTTTTATGGTGCCTCAAAGGCGTTATTTCCTTTCAGGAAAGGATAAACATGCAAAAACTCCCAAAGGGCGATCGTCCAAGGGACATCTGTCCCTAGAGATCATCTGTCTGCGATCGAACAACATGCTTGGCGATTTATAATCTAGCTGGGTCATCTCTTTAAGCGCAGAGCGCTAACGGCTTTGCGCGTCACAGTGCAATTTGATCGCGCTAACGTGAGATTGAGCTCGAGACAGGTCGACCGACGGTGGTGAGGTGTGGCGCGGGCGGGCAGGAGTTTCTTGAGGGGGCGGTGCCCCGTAGGAAAGATATAAAGGGAAGGTGTGTCGTACGATGACAACGACGACTACTGACGACGACGACGACAGTCTCGTAACATGCTTCAGGAGAAGGTGATCGTCGGAGCGGCTTCCGTCTGTTCCCTAATCGCTATCGGTGCTTGTCTAGTCGTACTACCGTCGTTGTACTACGAAATCAATGAAGTACATGATCAGGTGAGGGTTTACTATGGTACTTTTCGAACTCTGTGAATCTATGCTAGTATTTGTGGCAGTTCGGCAAGGGGGGGGGGCATATCGCACTTTCGCTGCTCCACTAGTTCCGCTTTACAAGCCTCACTCTGGTGAAACCTGTCAACTGTTGTGAATGGAGCAAGGTGGTCGAGCCATCATGGTAAGACCTGTCAACTCCTGTAAGGTCCAATAGCTCTGTAGAAAGCCGACACATCGATGGGAAGTAGCAAAAGTGCAAAGTGCCCAACCCCTTTGCCGAACTGTGCCTCATATTCTTATGACCATAACGAGGGTAAGGATTTGACCGAAAACCAGGGAGGTTAGATCAAATGACACATCTCAACCCCGGGATATCACATTTTTATTCCTTGTTTTTTGAGAGTAATCCTTAGAGCTTCCCTCCGCACCGAGTTTTTACCACTGATTATACTTACTCAGGTACGGTCCTTCCTCCTGGATCTCCTTTTGCCTCTTTCTAACTTTTCTACCCCAATGAAAGAGACAAGTTGACACCAGACATTCTTCCCATGTCAGGCAGTTGATTGAAATGTCTGCTTAGGGGCCTACCATCGCCATAATAGCTTATAGACATTTATGTTGAGCCCTTAGCGAGTTCTTAAAATTGAACAATTTTTTAAACCCCCCTCAGCAGTTGAAAGTGATGCCTGAGCTCTATTTCAATCTTGGTTGCGGTTAAAGATTAGGTGCCAAGGGTTAGGTGAGATAGTGCATGTTCCTTGAAGTGCCCCATGAGTTCACTTCCCGACTAGTTGCGAGAGAGCGCCCATGGTCCCCAATGATGAGGACTGTATTCGGGTTCACAAAACTAGCCAAACTTCACACTAGTACCCAACCACTTTTCTATCGCTTTGCTTTCCAGTGGTGGGAGACCTAGGAGACCCAGCTGGACCAATAGGGACGGAAATTTGTCGCCTGTGGTTCTCCTCCCCCGATCGCTGCCACTGAAAAAGGCGTGGCTGACCATCGTGTCGTGAGACAGACCTTTAGCGAATTGGGCTTTTGAATCCCAAGAAGCATTTAGGTTTGTACCATGGTGGTGGCCCTTCCTCCGCGTAGGGAATACGTGTAAAAGACGCCTCCACTAGGTAACAAGGTTAGGGACAGCCGTTTAGGCCATTCAGCATGCACCAATTTAGGTCCGATCCAAAACGCTCAATAAGGGCCTTAATTCCACGGCACAGTGAGAACTAATAAAACGCTTAGACTAACTATTTCTAGAAGTAGTTTGCTAAGAGCAGGACCTTTAACAGAAGCGACAAAGTGCTGAGTTCTGAGCAAAAGTCAGACCCTAGACGGACTCGAACCTGCATATTCTGCTTACCGGGCAAGTGCGCTAACCACGTTAAAGCCTTCAGCCTCGCGGTTCACTGCCAATATCGGCTAACCGGCCATCACGTCAAAAGTGTGAGCGCTGTAACTGCTACGGCACGAAAAAATCCATCAAGCTGAGAGGGTAAGAGCGGCCCCGGTGGCATAAGTGGTTAGCGCACTTGCCCGGTAAGCGAAAGATACGGGTTCGAGTCCCGACTTTTGCTCATAACTCAGCATTCTTGTGATAACTTTCGGATCGCGCACTGCGGCGTTAAACAGCAGTTACCAAACAAAAACAGCTTCAAACTATGTATGATCCTTTTGCCATGTACAGATTCCATGTTTCGAACCAGGATTTCATGCTTGCCCTTTTTTCTTCAGGGGAAAAGAGACAAGGAAATTGAAAATCGCTCTACTGATGGTTTTATTCGACATAAGTAGCCCTATTACCAAACAACATCGCTTGTTATTTACCTCGGTTCCTAGCCCCCTGCTATTCTATTATGCGCTATGCGTTCGCCTGGCGCTACAAAACAGTTTGAAGAGGCTATTCAAGGAAATGGTCGACAAACTGATGCCCAAGTACCGTTGTTTTGCAAGCTGCTGTGATACCAACTGGGTAACAGTTCAACCGCACCTTACTCGACCCCATATGTTGTCGAGTGATAAACCGCGCTGATTGTCCTTGCGCTAATTTGTTCAATTACCTCATCGTTATAAGGGAGGTGGTGTAGTGGGTAGACAAGTGGCTCCCCTACCAAGCGCGCGGTCTTGGGATTAAATCCCGTATCGGATCAGCTCTCGCCCTGCCAACCAAGGCTCTTTACCCTCCGCAGACCGTCAAGTGGTGTCAGATTAGCCTAGGAGAATAAGAAGTAAGACTTGTACATTGGCGGCCGACCTCTCACAAGTCCCTAAAGGCCCTATCCCACCGAAAATCAACGATGAAAACTTTACCCGTCAATCTTTAACTCACCGTTGCTGAATTTCTGATTTGTAGGCGCATTTCCCGATAGCGCGCCTCGAAAAATGGGTTTCGTCGCAATTCCAAAAACGATAATTTTATTCGAGTGACGTCATTAGCAGTTTTGTGCGAGGAAACCCTTAGATGCTCCCTTAGGGCTACTAGCACCCTACTATTTATGCAAACACTACATCGTTCAGTGTACTACTTACAGTACCACTACCTTTTCCGTTTAGGTACTTGACTCAGTGGCGGTGTTCCGTATGGAGACGGACTCGGCATGGATCGACATGATGGACATCCAGATTGCCGTCACTCCACCGTCGAAACCTCGTCAGAATCCGTTAGACTCCATATTCCGTCGAAAACGACAGAACTTTGGTAGCTTGCCTCCCTGGTGTCAATGTGAACCGACACCACCCAGATGCCCACCGGGACCACCGGGCCCACCCGGACCACCTGGTATGCCCGGTACGCCTGGACAACGAGGGCCTCCTGGACGGGATAACACTCAAGTAAGTTATCTTTTTCTTCCGCTCCTTACTACTATCCATGCAAGCTCTCTAACTGGTGCTATTTCAGGTCTACGCTCCAATCACCTGCCCACCAATCAGTCGAGATTGCGTGCGTTGCCCAGCAGGACCACCAGGGCCTGCAGGACCTTTGGGAGCAATGGGTCGGCCAGGACCACCTGGTCGTCCTGGACCACCTGGAACACGTGGCAAGAACGGTCTCCCCGGACCTCCAGGACCGGCAGGCAACAAAGGCATGCCAGGATCACCAGGTCGCCCGGGAGGACCAGGAAAGCCAGGCCGCGATGGTCAACGCGGACGCGGCAAACCCGGTTCACCCGGTCCACCTGGACGACCCGGTATGCAGGGAAGACCCGGAGGCCGAGGAAACGACGGTCGACCAGGAAGCATGGGACGACCTGGTCCACAAGGACAACCGGGAATGCGTGGCTCTCCTGGACAACAAGGGCGACCTGGACAGCCTGGAGCGCCAGGTCTACCTGGCAACGACGCTGCCTATTGCCCATGCCCGCCGAGAAACAGCGTCTACACGACGAACCGAGTTGTCAGTCGACAATAGATCGATAACGAGTTCTATTTGCTGATGCTTTTAATAATATAAAACGCTAGTGTTGTTTCGCTTAAAACAAAGATCTTCACTTCATGATGTGTTTTGTAAACATGAAAATAAATACCACAAAAACAGCCGACAAGAAGGGGCAAATATGCAGGAAACCATTATTTCGCGCCATCTTTCGAACGTTCGCGTGGCCTGCGTCCAAGGACTTGACAGAAGTTCCACACAACGAAAAAAATTCAGACAATGAACACGCGCGCCTTTTAGCAGTGCTACAGATCCACCGTGGGCTATGGGTTATTCCATGTGGTATACCTTACGCTATACATATCTGTGAGGCGATTCGGCTTTAACACTTACAATGAGTGAGATTCTCGAGTAAGCCGGTTCTTCCTTCAACTTTGGGACCGGCTGCATCCAGTCAATTGCTTCATTGACCCTTCAATTTCACACACTTATTCGCTGTGCACTGCCAAGACAACATTTTAATATTTCTAGCTGCAAGCCTGCTCAGGAGGGGCATTTTGCTAACTCTTGTTGGCGAACCAGACAAGTTTGTTAAGTCCTGTAAGCTCTTTAACAAGACGGAGTAACTAGAGCTCCACTTCACGCCGTGTCTTCAGGTTCTTAGTAGACTCAGGATTGTAGGGTAACGCGCGCCATTCCTTTTACTGGAAGGTGCCAGTTGATGCGATTCAGAGAGGGGGGATTGCGTCCGGCGCAATGTGGCCCGGATGCGTCCTGTTCAGCTCTGGGCGGCTGGAGGGTAATCCTTGGCTACCACTTTCCTCTCATCACTCGACGCTACAAGCTACTCGACCTCAAAGCTCAACCTTCTCCTACGTCCTTGCCTCCATGGGACGAAGGACTTCTCCTTCACTACGCCCCCTTCTCTATCCTACTTAACACGTTCTGGGCTCCTCAAAACTCTCTCTCTCTCTCTCTCTCTCTCTCTCTCTCTCTCTCTCTCTCTCTCTCTCTCTCTCTCTCTCTCTCTCTCTCTCTCTCTCAACTTCAAAAAATCTTGCGACTCTGCGCAACTTAGGAGTATACAGTACAACTTGAAACGGTGAATATCTGAGAGGTCACACAGCCGGGAGAAATCTCCGCTGCTCGGAAAAAAATCTGTTCAAGGACCAAGATACGATTCCAACAACATCGATATGGGAAAAACTTTTATCCCACTCCCCAACAACCAACCATGACTCGCCCGCCCAATGAGATACCCCCCCCCAACGATGCTGTTCTAGGACGGGAAAGAGCTGGGGAAGTGAAGAGGTAGGAAGGCTGAAAGGTAGCGGTCTCTCTCCGCTTACGGGCAGAGGAGAAGCTCAGAGGTAAGAGGATCCTTTTCAAATTCGCTCGGTTTTTGCCATCCCCCGAAAGTGCTTCATCGAGCCGTACGCTCCATTTCAACACACCGTTCTCCACTTCTCCCGGTTACTTTGCTTTATTCCAGGGCTACCTCGGTCCCACAAGAAGCAAAATGTTCACTGAGAACGTTACTATTAACTGACATTCCTCTTGTGTAAACACACGCTGATGGTCTTACTGGGCGCCGCCGACAAGAAGCGAGTTATATTCCGGCCACAAAAATTTGGTGTCCCCATTTTGATTTATTCTCGTTCCAGTTCCGCGCTGTGCATCCGCTTACAAGTCGCGAAAGTACCTTTCCTTGACAGTTAATTAGTGGTGCCTCTCCCTCTACCCCCCCCCCGACACCCTCCCCATTTTCGCACCAGCCAGAGACTTTTAGGCCGAAACGTTGGCAATTGGTGGATAAGTCAGGTGGCGCGTCATAATTTCACATGAAGATCAATTAAACGTGACGGATGTTGCCCTGGGTGCAAATCATCGTTTTTCCTGTGGGGAGCTAGTGAAACCGTGTCGATTTGTCAGCTTTACAAGAGTTTACAGGGCTTTACAGACTTGAACAGAGAGTTGACAGGAGTAAACAAAATGCTCCCCACAAGTGGACTAGCCGATGATCCCCTTGCCAGGTTTTTTTGCCGTTCTTCCTACGTAACGTTTCTCTTACTTGTTGTTACACGTGGTGAAAACCTTGCTAACCGTAAGACATGATAACAGTGTTTTCGACATGTTACGCACCTGTTTTAACTTGTTAAGTGTACAGGGACAACTCATTAATGCCCTAAAAGCCTCGACAGTGACACAATAGTAAACTCGGAGGGGAGGGGGGAGCGTCTTACTATTCCCTGCTGGCTGCTGGCGTAGAGACCTGTTAACTCTTGTGAATACAGGGGACAAAAAAGACACTTTGGTCGAGTCACATATCAGTAAAGTTCACGCAGCACAGAGAGAAGACGTGGTTGAATACTGGTGGTAAAAAAGGTGAAACGGGAAAAACCAGAAAACCAGAGAACAATTTTTTTGATGGTGTACATTGTTCCGTCCTTCAGCTGGAGTGGAGAGAAAAGAAGAATGGGCACAGTTTGGCTCGGTGGGGGCATTGAATGGCAGTCAGCTAAGGTTGTATAGCCCACCTTGTGGAGACCTGTGAATTCCTGCGACCAGAGACTCATTTCTACCATTCCCTCGCTTGACAACAGCTTACAGGTCTCATCAAAGTAAAATCTATCGTTCAACGTGAACTGACAAGAGGAACTAGCGGAAGTGGAAAATGCCTCTAACAAGTCCAATAACGCCAAAAAGTGAAGTCCCTGTTTTCGTTCTCCTATTATTGGGCGTAGTAGGAAACGTACAATATTTTCAAAGTATGCGAAAATATGAATGAAAATTGGATGCGTGGCTTATCTCGAAAAAGAGCCCACAAACATCACCTGATCACCCCTGTTTTTTGGCCGCGATCCTAATTGAATATGTCATTAGGTCCACTGATTTATGGCCGATCTTTTAAAAGATGTCACAATCCATTGTCAACCTGCTTTAT